GGCGTCCTGAACACGGACCACTTCACGCCACGATCCTTAAAGTTATTGCAGTTAATCTCGTGAGGGCGGAGCCACTTTTTGATTCGCTGCTGGACGCTGTCGTTCTCGGGGAACCCGACCGAACGTGGACCGGGGGGGAAACTGTCATCCACGAAGTTCACCGCGTTCTACAACAAACACAAGATTCAGTAAGATCATCGCACACAAATAAACCAGCATTTGCCATTATTAAATAATACGTTTATAACATATAAACTTTTAAAATTTGTAATATATTTTTAATAAATATGCTGTAAAATAAGTCTTGATTAAAAACGTATGTGGATTATTTTACAGATGTCCTTGCTATGCTTCTGGACCTTGAACGTGGTAGTTACCTTGCTGTCTATGGGAGGGTCAGAGAGCCCTCAGATTCCATCAAAAATATCCAAACCCGTAGTCTTACGGTTTGGAACGACATGAGGGTGAGTAATTAATGACAAAATTTTCATTTTTGGGTGAACTATCCCTTTAAATACATAATCAGTGTTGGGGAAAGTTACTTTTAAATGAAATCCATTACAATATTGCGGTACTCCATAAAAAAAATAACTAATTGCGTTACTTTTTATGCAAAGTAATACATTATGTTACTTTTGTGTTGTCACCTGAGCTGGGCTTGCTTATTTATTTTTTATAACAAAAAACTCACAAGTTGCGTTTTTGGCAACTGTAAAGGCCCTACTAGTTACTTGAAAAAGTAATCTTGTGTTACTTGTAATGCGTTACTCCCAACACTGTGCATAACACATACTGTTACACTGTATACTGAGCTGTAAGCAGTAAACTAGCACTCCACTCGAAAACTCAACCATAGAGAGACGTGTTTCTCTTACCAGCAATTTCCCAGAAGGCCTTGCAGTATGTCAGAGGGGCGGGGCGTCCTGAACACGGACCACTTCACGCCACGATCCTTAAAGTTATTGCAGTTAATCTCGTGAGGGCGGAGCCACTTTTTGATTCGCTGCTGGACGCTGTCGTTCTCGGGGAACCCGACCGAACGTGGACCGGGGGGGAAACTGTCATCCACGAAGTTCACCGCGTTCTACAACAAACACAAGATTCAGTAAGATCATCGCACACAAATAAACCAGCATTTGCCATTATTAAATAATACGTTTATAACATATAAACTTTTAAAATTTGTAATATATTTTTAATAAATATGCTGTAAAATAAGTCTTGATTAAAAACGTATGTAGATCTCATTTGCTATCATTAAAATGTATATAATATAAAATTAATTACAATTTTAATATAACATTGTAATAAATACAGTGTAAGTATTTCATTTGTTTGTTACATTTATATAATTTGTCATCATTAAATACGTATATAATATAAAATTATCTAGTCTTATACAATATTTTTACTAAATATTTTCATTTATGTAGATCTCGTTTTTCATCACTTAATATGTCATTTTCCATCAAGAAATAATGTATATATAAAATTAATTGCAATTTTACTATAATATTTTTAATAAATAGGGTTAAAATAATAGATTTTTTAACATTTATATAGATCTCATTTGCCATCCATATATATATATATATATATATGAGTGTGTGTAACTAAAATATCGACCGAACGTGGACCGGGGGGGAAACTGTCATCCACGAAGTTCACCGCGTTCTACAACAAACACAAGATTCAGTAAGATCATCGCACACAAATAAACCAGCATTTGCCATTATTAAATAATACGTTTATAACATATAAACTTTTAAAATTTGTAATATATTTTTAATAAATATGCTGTAAAATAAGTCTTGATTAAAAACGTATGTAGATCTCATTTGCTATCATTAAAATGTATATAATATAAAATTAATTACAATTTTAATATAACATTGTAATAAATACAGTGTATTTCATTTGTTTGTTACATTTATATCATTTGTCATCATTAAATATGTATATAATATAAAATTATCTACAGTCTTATACAATATTTTTACTAAATATTTTCATTTATGTAGATCTCGTTTTTCATCACTTAATATGTCATTTTCCATCAAGAAATAATGTATATATAAAATTAATTGCAATTTTACTATAATATTTTTAATAAATAGGGTTAAAATAATAGATTTTTTAACATTTATATAGATCTCATTTGCCATCCATATATATATATATATATATATGAGTGTGTGTAACTAAAATATTACTGTTGTTTACTATTACTGTGTTTTTAATAAATATCATGTCAAAAAAATGTTAAACCCATGTAGATATAATTTTCCATCATAAAATAATATAATATAAAATCATTTATTTTACTACTACTACTACTACTACTACTACTACTACTAACAATAACAACAACAACATTTAAAAAAATTAGGGTCAAAATAATTTTTAAATTGTTTTTTTCCCTGAATGTTTGGAGATCTCATTTGCCATCATTAAATAATATGCATATAATATACACGCATACACGCAGGAAGTAATTGTACATTTTCACCCTATTTACCCAAAAACTACACAAACTTTCACCCTAAAACATCAACTTCTGTTCACTTTGTTGCTACAAAATCACTGTTAGTGTGAGCATCTTTATAGTCGACATGATGTGCATCATATGAAGACGCAGCAAAGAGGGAGGAAACATGTAAATTTGCAAAAACTGCAGCAGATATTCTGCAGGAACAATAAAGCTTCAAACATACAATCTCACGGACAGCAGCAGCTCACGCCGAAAAACACGTGTATGCCGGAGAAATAGGGGTCATTTTGACTCTGGGGAGCCATTTAATTGCTGCTGCAACCGTTTCTAAAAATACGTCTCCCAAGTTGCGAGCGCAGACGGATGCAGATCGGAGGGGCTGCTGGGGAAATGCATGCAGACATGGAAGTGCGGTGAAACTGAGTGTCAACTTGTGTTTGAGATGTCTGAAATCCCATTTGCAAAGAGAAAGAGTGCTGGTATAAATATGCGATTATTAATCATATTATTTTATTACATAACGGGCTGAAAAAATACATTTTGAATAGCTTAGACAGGTTCTAAACTTAGTTTGTGATGCATCATTTTTCATTATGCAACTATTCTGAAGTGAGAACATCTGGGTCAAATCACAGCTGTGCTGAGACCTGAAATTAACATTCATCCTGGTTGATCTGATAACAGTTTTTAGATCAGATCAGATCAGATCATCTTCAGGGCTGCTTACGATCACATCTCATTTACAGTGTAAACACTAACACATCCTGACGTGCCCCAAAAACACTGAAGGACCTTCTAGTCATGTAACGCACCAAAAAACCAAAAAGATGTACTTCATCTTAGAGAAAACCTGAGGATTCATATCATGTTGCATCGACCCTCCTGCGGAAATAACACGTGTAGTCCGGAAACCACAGAACATGGAAAATCTCAAGAGGTCATTGGAGAAGCAAGTGAGACAAGGAGTGTGTTGGAGCAGCATCCAAATATATCCAACCTCCAAGATGATACTAACAATTCATTAATGTAGAGATCATAAGTTGGATCAAACTGTGGCTTATCTTGATTTCAACCTTTGGTTTGTACCATCACAGGTCTTTAAGAGGTGTTTGTCTGCACAAGGAGGAAATACAAAGGTCAATCTGATTTGAATACCAATCTCAAGGCTAAAATATAAAAATTAACCAGAGATATGGAAAACATACGTCAGAGATATCAAGGAGTTTCAAAAAACTCCTGATTAAAGAAGATCTTTGAGAAGCTGCTGAAGTTGTATTTGCGAGTAACCAGAATGAAGGAAGCAGTTCAATTTAAAAGATGAAGTACTCCGCTTAGAGCGGTTTTAAGTGCAAATGATAAATCGCCTAAACACTTCTGTGTTCTTTTCCGAAACCTTTTATTGAATATGGAAAAAGATCAAGAACAAGAAGAACTTGAGAATTTGCATTTCAGCCCCGTCGGCAGTGAATCATTACACACTCGACTCACAAGAGCACACGGCCACTTACTTCTGTGGGACGCTCCTTAAACATCCCTTCTGTCTGAACAGAACATCACTGTCAGCATCTCCTCAAACACTAAGTCTGAGCATTTCCCCCTCGATTAAGGTCAGAAATATATCAAATATTTAGCAGATATGAGGGGCGCCGCTGTTTTCATGCTCTGCGTGTTTCTGATACTGGCTCAGCTTAAAAAAACGGAGCTGCAGTTTGAAATGTCAACAGAATAGAGTAGCAGGATGTTTAGATAATGTAACATTAGTATTTAGGCGGGTCGTGTGTGTAATATAGAGATATATATTACAGTATAGTGTGAACACTACAAATGAGATCACTAGAGATGCACTGATGTATCAATCACTGACATTTAAACTGATATTAAAAACAGATGGTTTCAAATAAATGCAGCCTTGGTGAGCAGAAGAGATTTCTTTCAAAAAAAATAAAAAATCGTAAAGACTCCAAATCTCTTTGGATATCATGTAAAAATATAGTAAACAAAAATCTGTTAAAATAACTAAGGCGAGTTTTTGAAATGAACATAAGGAAGATTTACATATTAATTATTTGAATTGAACTCTAAAATAACCCTAGCCTGTGAATGAACAACATTTATCTGCATATTTTTACATGGAAAACATCATTCCACTTTCAGGATTAAATTAAGTGGACATCTTAAATCGATTTGACCAATTCGGTCAACATTTCTGTTAATGAAATTTATTTTAATATCATCGTATTGTCACTTAAGCTATGTATCATTCCCAGGACTTATTAATTTGTTCCACATTTTAGGTAAATCTAACTTTTTTAGTTGAATAATGGTCACAATTTAACTAAATTAAAATGACGGAACAAATTAATCACTAATTAGTCACTACCTAAAATGGGAAACAAATTAATTAATTTTATTTCAAATGTGGCCACAAATTAAGAAGTCATTTTTTTCTGCATATCATATGCGGGTCTCCGTAGATTAGAGTATCGGCCGATATTTGTTAAAATCAGTATCATATATGCCAAAAAAGTAAGAATCTGTGCATCTTTAGACGCTGCTTAACTTATTTAAAAATACTACACAAATCTTTTTTCTCAAATCAAACTGACAGTGTCTTACCTCTCTACAGAAGCTGACAATATTTTCCCACAATTCCTTGGCCTCTCCTTCATCTGTGCGTCTGCGCGCCTCCACATGCATGCTCTCCCGCCGTTTGAGCGGTTTCCCTATTTTCCTTTGATTGAGGTACTGCTGCGGGGTGTGACACGCCGCGCAATGCTTCATCCGTACTTCGTTCAAGAGCGTGCAGGCAGGACACGTCCACTGACAGGCGCTCTTGTCCTGCGCAGACGGGGATGAGATGGAGGAAGAGGAGGCGGAAGTAAAGGCACGCGAGTGCTGTTGTTTCCGAGAACACGACGAGCAGTTGGACGGCTCGGAGAAACCGTGCAATTTGGACGATCCGCAGGCCGTGCAGTGGCCTGCACCCGTCGGGTTGCGTAACGTACATTTGGAACACGCCCACAAGCTGAAGTCTGGACTGGACGGTGATGCCGGCGTGAATCGCACCGATTCGCCTAGTACATCGATGACGTCGCCGCCCGAACCCGGCCGCGACCCTCGACATGCGTCGCAGCGGCCGGCGGATGACGAGGGAGGAGCTGTGGGGGCGGAGCATCCGGGACACTTCCAAGAGGGCGGAGATGTGACTGGAGGGGCGGGGTTGTTAGGCTCCTCCTCCAGCACGCTCAGGCGCTTGAGTGAGTAGTTGTCTGATGGTGGGAGGGGCTTGGGTTTGGTAGGCGGGCAGGTTGAGGGCGAGGTTGGCGAGGGGGCAGGGTTCGGGGGCCGGCCAGGGGGCGGGACTCCCCTTCGGCTGCGAGGCACGGGGTTATTCTGAAGCGAGGACAGGGAAGGGGGCAGAAACGGGACGGGGGGTGGAGAAGGGGTTTCAGAAGGTGCTTGGGGTGGAGAATCTTCAGTCAGATCGATGAGAAGCGGCGCAGATGCTCCCGCCGTTTGCGTGGGAAACCCCGCCACGGGTGTGCGCACTTCCGGGACCACTAGCGCTTCAGGAGGGATTTTCGGTAAGGAGAGTTTTCTCGGACCACCACATGCAGAACACGATAACGCCACCGGAGTATTCACTAAAGTACAGCGAGGACACGCCCACTCTGATGACCCCTCCCCACCCACAGACACCTCCCCGTTGGGTTCCGTGCACCGGGACTCCCCATTGGCTACCTGACCTTTGGCTTCAGGGCTGGAGGCGGGCTCTACTGGAGTGGGCGGGGGCTGCTTGTGTGGGAGGGGTCCGTTGGGCGTAACTGGAGCTGCTCCGCACACAGAACACGAGCCTAATCCATGGTGATTAGTCAGCGTGCAGCGTGGGCAGGACCAGCGAGGTTCCTCAGCACTGCTGAGGCGCAAAATATGGTTCAAATCCGGCTTCTGCCGAGGAGCTTCACAAATAGAGCAGCGTAAGGAGCCACTGGAGTTAAGAAACGTGCAGCGCCCGCATGACCAATCAGAATTCCTCACAACTGCTGCCATCGAACCAGGAGAATGAGAGTGACTGAAAAAGAAGGAGAGAGAAAAAACAATTAGTTATGGAATTAAAATCCAAAGTACAGAAAAGAGAGCAGAATGGAGTTCATAAAGAGAAAGGAATATGTAGAGGGGAAAATCATATAGCGTTAAAGAGCAGGTCATATGGGTTTTTGAAAAATATCTCTTTTGCAGTTTATAACGTAGCTATCCTTAAATCTGCAAAGTTGTTAATCAATAAAGTGCACGATAAATTTATCTTCGTTGGCTTCTAATCTTCTTAATTTGGACTAACAAGCTCTCCGAACCACAACCTGTAAGTACAATTGATACGTTATGTGTACATTTTCAATTGAGTGCTCAAAATATCAATTTCCTAAGAATGTGTCGATTAATGTAGACTGACGTTGTTCTAAACACTCCGTTTAATAATAAAAAATATAGTGTAGCACACAGACTTAATCATTGTGAAATTGCTGTTTATTTTGCTGCACCGGCAGTTATAGGGCTAATGCGAGTGCGTCTGTGATACAGCTGTTCTGTGTTCTGATTAACAGTTAAGACAGAGCGTCTTTTGTCTGTCGTTCTTCAAACATTACAGTAGACATATTTTGGTTTACAAACTGTATGGTTTCATCAGTTAGTCACGTTAGCACGTGGCTAACGTATCCACCATTATTGTTTTAAGTGTTCACAGTTTAGCAGCTGAACTTTAGCTGTGGGCACGATTCGCTTGCATAAGTGTTTTTGTATTTTATGTCATTATTATAAGAACGGATTGGAGCACTATATTATTGTTTTATGTAAAGGTGCTTTGTCAATGGTAGCGCTCGCTAACTTGCTCAAGGACTCCTCTCTGTGCCAATCACAACAGGCTTGGCCAGCTGACCAATCAGAGCAGAGTAGGCTTATGGAAGGGAGGGGTTTGCTCCGAACTTGCTTGGAACGAATCGTTTAGAAATCATTGGCAAATGACTCTAATATTAAATGTATATTCTGAGAAAATTACAATGTTTTCTGACCTTAGATGCATTTAAACCTGTTGTAGGGGACTCCAACACAATATCAGGACACTTTAAAATACCATATGACCTGCTCTTTAAGTAAAGATAGACTAATAAGGAAGATTAATAACAATGCATTATTAATAACCCAATATATCAGACAGGTTGGTTAATCAAATAAAATTGGGCCATTATGAGATATTGGTCATATATAAAACAAATATATAAAACATATATAAAATAAAAAAAAATTATTTGATTGTTTTATGCCATGTCTGAGGCCATTTAATGTCCAACAAAACAAAACTAAACTAAACAAAACTGGTAAATAGATAATAAAAAAATGGGTAAATAAATTAATAAATGGTAGACAAAGGTAGACAAACACGATAAATATTTTGCATGCACAAAAATAAGATCTACATAAGATTCTTTAAGGTGTATTTGAGGGGTGTGTGTGTGTGTGTGTGTGTGTGTGTGTGTGTGTA